CGTATGTATATATATATATATGTGTGTGTATAAGAATGTTATCGTCCCTATTTTAGCCTTCAGATTTATTTTTATTTCCCAACTAGCGTGTGCTAATTATCAAAGACTAAAACTATTTTATATCTATTTTTTTGTTTAGCAACATCTAATGGAAAATATCTAGTAGATACAGCTATTAATAAACATCCGAGGTCCAATGGTTCTTAATACTCTTAATTATGATTAAGACCTTTTTTTCTTATGTTGGAACCACTTCTTTCTTAACGCCATCTTAAAGTTTGAATGTAAACTAGAATGGAATTTCAATATCTAAATTACCTTGTATTCAATCGAATGGTTAGCGATCAAATAGGTGGGAAAATTATTCATGTATTTGTTGAACAAACAAGTTGTTTTTTGTTGTTGTTTTTTATTAATCACTATTGTAGAAACAGACACTTGTTTTATTGCTGATTTTTAGACGCAAAAGCTAACTGTAATCTGACTTCTCTGATTTCTTATGCATAAAAGGAGAAAATAAATCCACAGGGGAACTGATAAGATTGTGTAGTTGCATCTTTATCGGTCCCACGGTTGATTCACCATATGGTTTAGTCCTAAAATATATTTTCGTAATTTAAATCTGAACACGATGTTTCTTGTACAGTAATGTATGGAGGCCCATAGTGCCATCAATGTATTTACATCCGGAGCACACGCGGATTGACGAAAACTTTTTTGCGTAGGGCGCACAGAGTTCTATGTAAGAAACTTCAAATATAAAGAAATTCAAGAAAACAAAACCACATTTAAGTTGTTGACAACCATATTCCACTTTCAGTTACCGTATACGAGTAGGCCCATTTAGCGCTGTATTTCCAACTTTCGTAAATGACAGCTTTGATAGCGTTCCTAGAAGTACCTTGGCAAAACTTCTACACTTGTTTATTGTGGAAAACTACAACTACTGATCTTTTGTCTTGAGTCGCAGAATTTGCATAACCAATCGTGCAGTGGGTTCTTTGGACCACTGACTGCACGCAAGCTTGCCGTGTCCAGAGTGTTTCGCGTGGCTACCAAGTCGAGAGCTCGTGGGCACTGTGCCAAAGGAGCGAAGGGAAGCGTGGCTGTCATTCTGTCCTGCCGGATAATATACACGTGTAACAATTACTGCACTCTAGTAAAAACGTCCAGTTGGTGGCCGAGTTCGAACTGTGTCTGTACTCGACTTATTCTTCGTAGAATGACCTGGCAACCGGACAACCCTCGCTTTTAAGTACCCTACTTTCATTGTTAAGATAAAGTAGGACACACTAAATACCCCCACATTAACCTGAAGAGTGACTGCTCTTGCATAGCACATGATTAAACCATCCTAGCTGATCAGATGATTCATTATAACACTGGTAATTCTGTAGTTTTTATAGTCATTTAATGGCTAATACATGGCTAATATGTAAGAAATTCGTCCTATTCAATGAGCGTATGTGACAGGTGTTGTTGCTAAGCGGCAAGATCATTCGAGATTATTCCAGCATCCTGAAATAAAAAGAGCTATGTATATATGTGTGTGTGTGTGTGTGTGTGTGTATTGCCTTATCAGACTTATCACAGAAAGCAGATCATTATTTCATTGGTACATCTCTATAACTTTGGACCGATAATGATTGAAACCGTTTGCTGTTTAGCAGCCAAAGGTTAAAATAGCATCTGATGTTATGTTGTCAATTAACCCTTATAATTATTGGAGAGAGATAAATCACTTTAGCTCTTATGTTACTTCTATCATTTTTTCACACATAAGAGGCGCATGTCTATAGATAAAGTACTTAGTTTTTGTTTTTTCTTGCTAATCGTTAGTCGATTACGCTTGAAACACCTGGTATATAGGAAAAAGGTTTAATCGATCAGTTCTTAATTATATGACATCATGCCAAGTAGAAGGTTTTAAACATATATTTGCGTGCTTGTTAACAGCTAATTAAGTTTCAGTTGTATTTTGCTATATTATAGACTCTTCTGAGATTATTCTTATAGCACTTAACTTTCATGTAAAAAGTATATTAGACGGCGTAGACTTATTGGGATTGGATATTTATCTGGATAACTACTGACTTAGATTTTTAGATAGGTGAAATTTTGTTTCCTATGATGAGGTCCAAAACAAAAACTAAAACTTCCTCTCAACTAAAAAAATTAAGATGGTAATCGTTTATAGGAAACTCCAATCCTACTGTCTGAGCTATGGTTTCGGGTGACTCGTGCAGTAGAGTCATCTGATTGAGTTCCAAATTGATCCTTGTATGGTGTCAGGTAACCCGAGTAAAACAGTCACGAAACTAAACTTCCAGTGGCCTTTAATTGAATGTCAAATGATTGAGTTTCAGATCCATGTCTGAATATCACATTTTTTGGTTTTAGGCAATCTCTGTAAAATACATAATAACAATAATATTAAAACGATCGCCACGATTTCCAATGATCCGTTTCTACGTATCATATGACTGAACTTCAGGTTCGTTATTACTAAGTGTTCCATATGATTGAGTTTTCAATAACCCATATCTAGGTATTATATGATTGAGTTTTAAGTGTCCCATATCTAGGTATTATATGATTGAGTTTTAAGTGTCCCATATCTAAGTGTCACATTTTAAGTTTCATTAAAGTAGTTGTGAACAAAAATAGATATTTCTTTTTTAAAAAAGAGGTTGTTTTTGTCAGAAATTTATGGAAGTTTTAATACAGTCGTGCCCAAAAGTTACATGCAAATGAAAAAGGTCACTGCATTTCATAATTTTTTACGAAAACTAACTTGTTAAAGTAAATTTAAAATTACTTAGAATGATATAAGCGAGTGGATTATTTTAACGTAGTATACTTCCACGCTCCAAAGTTTGATTTTCGAATAATTTTAAACCTTCAGTAGTGTTCATGACACTTAAAGTATTAATTGGTGGTTTTAAAGAGTTGAAATTTAAATACACAAAATAATACATCATTGCAATAAAACACAGTATTCCTACATACAGACAGATAACAACAATTAAATAAAAACATAAGATAAAAACTGGAAACTTTGTACATCCAACTAACTGTTAATACACTCAATGTATAGAAATCAATAAAACCCGAATACATTCAGTAATTAGTTGGTTGAAGTCTCAATGGTGTCATAATGGACAGCTCACCTGCCTTTCTGACAATACGACTAAGGATGGAATTCAGGTTCCTACTACCACATACACTCAGGTTCCTACTACCACATACACTCAGGTTCCTACCACATACACTCAGGTTCCTACTACCACATACACTCAGGTTCCTACCACATACACTCAGGTTCCTACTACCACATACACTCAGGTTCCTACTACCACATACACTCAGGTTCCTACTACCACATACACTCAGGTTCCTACTACCACATACACTCAGGACTTCCCTGAAAATGAGCACAGGTAAGCAGCCAAAACCTAAAATATGAAATAATTGGTAATAAGTATCTAATGGTAACAACAAAAAAAAATAATACCCAATAACCAGTTAGACTTAAGCCATAATATAGGTCATAACTCGATCGCCACAACCTTACCTTAAGTACGAAACAGACAATGTTTCTGTCTCACAGCAAAACAAGTAAGAAAGAAGTAAACGTGACTTTTCTTAGTCCATAAACTTCTTCTCAGCTAACAAGTCTTAAGGGGTTTAATTTTACTGTTTACACTTGTAATATTCAGCTTTTCAGTATTGTATGCTCTAGTGGCTGAGACATGATGCTTTGTTTTTTACTAATACTACATCCAAAAGTGAACACACATGACTAGTTTTGAAATGTTTATGTATCTGTTTATCTACATTATACTTAATACGGAGTTCTTGTTGATTTTCAGATGGAGAAAACCTACATTTATTAATCATACCTGAAAATGCATATTAATATAACAGCGTAAGTACATGAAAATGTTGTTTCTTAAAATTACGATCGACACATTATTATGACGTAATTTGGTTCTGTTTGTTAATTTTTTCACTTCCCTGCATTGACGTATTCTGACCAAAGTTCTATTCAATCAATGAAGAAAATACACTTTTATTAGTGAGTATGATTTAGGAGTGTATTTTTCACAAGCGTGTTTGTTCTGTCTGTTTTGCTGCGTTTAGAACTGCTCTTAAATATTTCAAAGCAGCTTTCGCCAGCTTTCTTTGTTCACAAACGGTAAACGGCCTTTAGCATGACCCCTGTCCATCCTTGGACAGTTCTCAGTTGTCGGAGTCTGATCCCCACTCCTTTTTCAGTGTGGTATCTAAACGCAAATCAGTTTCCATGACAACCGCCTGTTTGAGAGGCAGTTCTTAGTCCCGCCTCCATAACACAACCGGCAAAATAAATTTGACGGTGCGTAGAGCGAGGTGTATGAGTAGCGAAAGCTGTTGAGGACGACAGCAGATGCGTGTCGCTCAGCATTGTGTTCCTAGGGCCCTCGTGCTTTGTTTGTAATATACTGACAGCTTCACAACTGGACTAGATCCAAGGCTCACTTCTCACCGGTCATATCTTCAAACAACACTCCCAAGTGTGCAGCAACT